GTACAGGGGAGGGCATCCCGTTGCTGCAGCTGCTTCAGTGAGGCAGCCCGGCAGCCAGAACCTCGTCGTGACCATTGTAATCATAGTCCGGCACCGTCTGGTCCACACCCTTCTGTGTGGGGGCGGGGCGAATGAGGGGCTCCGGCATCTCCCGTCGCGTGAACCACGGGTGGTCCAGAGCCTCTGCAGCGCTCAGACGCTCTTTCGGGTCGTGCCTCAGCAGGTTGCGCACCAAGCACTTGGCCCGGGCAGGCACCGAGTCGGGAATCTTGTACATGCCGCGGCAGATCTTGTCGAACAAGACGATGGGCTCGCGGTCGTGGAATGGGTAGCGGCCCACCAGCATCGTGTAGATCATCACACCGAGGCTCCACAGATCCGCCCTCCGTCCTGAATAGCCGTGTCGGGCCGACAGGATCTCAGGACTGACGTAGGCTGGGCAGCCGTGTTTGTCGGTGAGTGTGTCCGATGCCTCGTCGTCTTCCAGAACAATGGCATCATCCAAGCCGTCCAAACGAAGCTCAGTCCTGAAATGGTTAAAAAAATTTAAAAGTCAGCTTTCATTTCGTTTAAGTAAGAGTTTTACGGCACTTGCAACACAATAAGGTCATATAAGTCAGCTTTCCCCTCATAGTTCCTATAACAAACCTTTCATACAGAGAACTGAACTGAGACATAATTTAACAGTCTAAAAAAGATGGGTTCTAAATGGCTTCCTAGAGTCCACATACACATCCAAAAGTTATTGTCAAACAAAGGCATGTTTTAAAACAAGCAATCCCAAATGATGATGACAATACAATGACAGTGGTACACACGTGCTTGCACACAACACTAATCACAGCTGGCCACGATACAAAGGTAATTGTTGCACGGGTCTGCTTGTGCTCACTCCCAAGCCTTCAAAATAAGAACAAAATTATTTCAGATCTTGCATCAGTGACAAGCACTGTTTTTGTCAGCCATCTTTCAGGCGATGTGAGTGAACTAATGCAGGCCATGCTTGAAATCCTTCCAGCTTCATATGAAACACAATAAGAATGATCCAAAAATAAACCACTTCCCTTTCTTACATCATTAATAAATGGTACGGAAAAAAACCCTCTCTAGCACCAGAATACTTCCTAATGCTAATAATTCAACATTCGTATCATACAATTAAACGGTTCCATTTAAATAAAAAGGAGACTTTTTATTTTATGTCAACTTTCTACAAGTGCCAATTAACTCACACTTCAACTTGAACAGAAATCAAAACCTAGTGGAAACATTCATTGAATTTTTACACATCCAATCAATCTCACTTAACAAGGTAAATCAATTATTTTTTAAAATCCTAATATTCAGGAAAGAGTTAAGAATATTGTTGCATCTGATTTAATTCACAGTGATCAAGCATGACAACAGCTGGCTGCTTTTAGCTAAGTTTTAGCAAGGAGGTTTTTGAAATTATAGTTAAGAGGAACATTTTGACACATCAACGGTCATATTGTGCGGAGAAAAAGCAAGACAGGTAGAAACAACAGAAGAAGTAAGACCTAACTACCAGTGCCCCCCTCCAACAGTCACTCTTACTTAAACAGTGAAAACAGTTCATAATAAAGAAGTCACATTTTCAAAGTTAAAAAAAAAAGGAGATAAGACAAGAAAGCACAGAGGTCACGCTTGGTTAGGGACAAATCAGGGAAATGACATGAGTAAAGAGAGAAAAAAAGAGCAAACCCTAGGCATGTGTATCCTGTAGTAACCATCACTAAATTATGGACACAATGACTCACCTCTCCTTATCTTTGAAGACAAACTTGCGCAGCTTTAAGTCTCGCAGCACTACCCCGCTCTCATGGCAATGTCGGACGGCCTCCACCACCTGCCGCGCCAAGGTTCGAGCCTCGGGCTGCCGCAGACGCTTCCTCTCCCGCACGTACGAGTGCAGGTCCCCGTAGCCACGCTGGAAAAACACGTAGGCGCTCGTCTCGCCCAGGATGATCTCCCATACGCTGACCACATTCGGGTGGCCATCCGTGGCGAAGTAAGCTGAGAGCGCCGACCGGTACTTAGACAGCGGGAGCACCTGGAAAAGAGCAAAATTAAAGTAGGATGAGCCACAGAAAATACATTAGCAACATTTTTTTTTTAAACTCCACCTTTGACAGGAACACAAGCCAACTTGGACAAAATTACACTCAATAGAATTCAGCAGAATTACAAAACTTTCATAATAAACAAATATGAAGATGGGGAAACACTACTTTTCTTCTTTTTTTTAAATACCTTTTATAACTTTCGATGTAATCAGAAACAACTATTTTCCATCTATCTCTTGCACCACACAAAAGCAATCCTATGGTAGACTGATTGCTGCAAAAGTTTATTTGAATGCAAGACACACCCCCCCCCAAAAAAAAAAATCCCCTCCAAGGAAAAAAAAAACACCATCCCGCCCCACTTTAAAAAATAAACCCCATTTCCTCCTTTACAATGTGCACATGTTTGTTTTGTTTTTGTTTCTTTATCTTGAAAGGGAACGGCGAGAAAGCTTCCAATTCCATCAATAAAACGGCGGCTGCTGACATAAGCAAGCGTCTAGGCGCGACAGTTGGCGCAGGGACAGAGGAACAGACGCAGTAAGTCGGTCGGTGGGTGGGGTGTCGGCTGCTCGGCTCGCTCATTCATCGCCCGTCTCGCTTGCATGACCAGCGCACACTACAAGCCTTGCTCTACCCCCACGTCTACTTATTATGCTATTATATTACGTTTACATGATGATATAATATACACACGCGGATTTTGGAATTTAAGGTACCGTACAACAAACAGATTTGTCTCGCTCGACCGGAAACGATAATTTCTTATCGCCAATCGCACGTGCACTTGTCTGTGGTGGTGTGTGAGCACGCTTACTACTCACTTTCGGGGTGGGGGGTACAGTGTGTGCGTGTGTCTTTTTTCGGTTTTGTTTGTTTAATGTTTTGTTTTTGTTTGGGGGATGGGAGGGCGCGAAATAAGCGAGGTAAAATGCTGTTTGCATGGGACTTTGTCAAGAGAAGCACATCGACACAATTGGTGTCTCAATAACATTAGTGCTGAGAAAAATAGAAGACTGACTGAAAACAGTGAAAGTAAAGAAGGGGAATCTGCCAGTGACGCCCTCCAACCACGCTCGCTATACCATGATAAAAGCTAAAAGAACACATCGCTGCTTTAAAATCAATAACAACAGAGAAGACAACACACGTTAGGTCATTGTTTTTTTTTATATTATCTGATCTATTGGCCAAGCAGCTTCAGACAAAAGACTAGACAAAGAATGGCATCGATCTACTAATTGCAAACGAAAACACGAACTACAACAACGCAAAAACAAAAAGGGGGAGGCTAGCCTGCCCACAAGCGCGCGCGTGCGTGAACGGG